ATCCTCCACCTGCAACGCCGGCACTCCAGGTTCTAGTCCTGTTTGGGGCGCTGGTTCTGTCCTGGATGCTCCTCTTCCAGTCCAGCTTTCTGCTGTGGCCCGGGAGGGCAGTGGAGGATGGCCCAAGTGCTTGGGCCCTGCACCCCATGGGAGACCAGGAGAAGCACCTGGCTCCTGGCTTTGGATCAGCGCAGTGTGCCGGCCGTAGCAGCCATTTGGGGGGTGAACCAATGGAAGGAAGACCTTTCTCTCTGTCTCTCTCTCTCTCACTGTCTAACTCTGCCTGTCCAAAAAAAAAAAAAAGTGAATCAGTGGATGGAGTGGGCTCTCTCTCTCTCTAATGAATAAATAATTAAATAATTTTTAAAGTATCTATTTATTTATTTGAAAGTCAGAGTTACACAGAGAGAGGAGAGGCAGAGAGAGAGAGAGAGAGAGAGAGAGAGAGAGAGAAAGAGAGAGGTCTTCCATCCGATGGTTCACTCCCCAATTGGCCACAATGGCTAGAGCTGCGCGCTGATCCGAAGCCAGGAGCCAGGAGCTTCCTCCAGGTCCCACTTGTGTGTAGGGGCCCAAGGACTTAGGCCATCCTCCACTGCCATCCCAGGCCATAGCAGAGAGCTGGATTGGAAGAGGACAGCCGGGACTAGAACCGGTGCCCACATGGGATGCCGGCGCTTCAGGCGAGGGCATTAACCCCGGCACCACAGCCCCAACAATTAAATTGAAGAGAAACAGCCACATTGGCTAGAGGCTACCATCTGAGACACTGCAATTTAAACTCTGTTCCTTGAGAGCAAAAATGCCATCTTCAATCCCTGCATTCTTTCTACCTGGCATAAAGTAACTCAGTAAATGAAAACTGAGAAAGGAAATAAGCCTAGGCTATTTCCATTTTGAAGGTTCCTGATACAACAAGAACTGAAGAGAGGCCTAAGGAAAGGAGTATAAAAATTGTGGTGTATCTTAAATGTTTACCATGAATTTACAAAGCAGATTTACTGTCCCAGTTCCAAAATGAACATAGGATTAAAATATCAAACCATAGAAACACCAGTGATGACAATACCTAAGAATAGTCATGGCACTCAGTTAGCTCTCTGCTGTCAGTTTAGCAAATAGAAAAGATGCATTAAAACAATGAGGGGCTGGTGCCTGTAACTCCAGCATCCCATATGGGCGTTGGTTTGTATCTTGGCTGCTCCGCTTCTGAGCCAGCTCCCTGCTAATGTGTCTGGGACAGCAGTGGAGGATGGTCCAAGTGCTTGGGCCCCTGTACCCAAGTGACAGACTTGGAAAAAGCTCCTTCCTGGCTCTTGGCTTCAATCTGGCCCAGCTGTGATTGCTGTGGCCATTTGGGGAGTGGAACCAGTGGATGGAAGACCTCTCTCTGTCTCTGTCTCTCTCTAACTCTGCTTTTCAAATAAATAAAATAAATCTTAAAAAACAAACAAACAAGGAATCCTGCCTGAGAATATTCCTTGTACCTTCAAAGGTGTACATGTGGAAATAAATGCACTAGCAAATACAATGGGATCTTTAATACATGAGATGGAAACTACAGTGTGATTTAGATGAGATAGAAGAGAACTGAGATATTGTGAGAAAATGAACTAAGTGGAGAGCTTGGAACTTGAAGTTTCTCACCTAGGCTTGTCCACCGTTACATCACTTAGCCATCTCTCTCAAAAGAAAACAAGCCAAGGTCAAAGAGTGACATTCTAGGGGCTGCCGCTTTGCTGTAGTAGGTAAAAGCTGCCGCCTGCAGTGCCAGCATCCCATATGGGTGCTGGTTTGAGTCCCGGCTGCTCCACTTCCAATCCAGCTCTCTGCTATGGCCTGGGAAAACAGTAGAAGATGGCCCAGGTGCTTGGACCCCTGCACCCATGTGAGAGACCCAGAAGAAGCTCCTGGCTCCTGGCTCCTGGCTCCGGATCAGCATGGCCCCGGCAGTTGCAGCCATTTAGGGGAGTGAACCAGCGGATGGAAGACTCTCTCTCTCTCTCTCTCTCTCTGCCTCTGCCTCTCTGTAATTCTGCCTTTCAAATAAATAAATAAATAAATCTTTTTAAAAATAAAAAAAGAGTGACATTCTGCAGAGTTGTAGTAACAACATTTCTTATAAGACAATTCATTGTTATAGCTCTGTTTACCTTATGTAAGACTCTGAAGAACTCATAAACAAGATACAATCTTATCAGCATGAAACGGTGTATAAGTTTTAATTTTTTGAAGATTTATTTATTTATTTGAAAGGCAGAGTTACAGAGAGGCAGAGACAGAGAGAGGTCTTCCATCTACTGGTTCACTCCCCACATAGCTGCAACAGCTGGAGCTGTGATGATCTGAAGCCAGGAGCCAGGAGCTTCTTCAAGGTCTCCCATGCAGGTGCAGGAACCCAAATATTTGGGCCATCTTCTACTGCTTTCCTAGGCCACAGCAGAGAGCTGGCTCGGAAGAGGAGCAGCTGGGAGTAGAACTGGCCCCCAGGTGGAGGCTTTACCTGCTACACCACAGTGCCAGCCCCTAAGTTTTAATTTTTGCCTGAAGTGAGGACCAGGAACTAGGCATAATATAGTTAGCATGAGCATATTTACCATTTTCCTAGCCTTTTTCAAAGACAACTTTTTTTCTCTCCAGAAACATTTAAGGTTTCATTTCCTAAGTACAATTTTAGGAACACAGTAATTCTTCCCACCATACCCACCCACCCACCCACACTCCCACTCCTCTTCCTCCTCCTTCTCCTGTTCTCATTCTTATTTTTTACTAAGATCTATTTTTAATGAACTTTATACACATACGATTAACTCTATACTAAGTAAAGTGTTCAACAAATAGTAAGAAAAAACTCTTTCTCAACATTCGAGACAAAGGCTATTCAAAGTCATTGCATCTCGAAGTGTCAATCTCACTTCTATAGATTACCTTTCATGTACTCTGTTAGCTATCACCGATCAGGGAGAACTTATGGTATTTGTCCTTTTGGGACAGGCTTATTCCATTAAGTATGATAATTTCATCCATTTTGTTACAAACGATAGGATTTCATTTTTTTTTTACCACTGCATAGTTTTCCATGAATTGAGCTGCAATGAACATGAGAGTACAGATAACTCTTTCATATGCTGATTTCATTTCCTTTGGGTAGATTCCCAGGGATGGCTGGGTCATATGGTAGGTCTATATTCTGGTTTCTGAGGTATCTCCATACTATCTTCTACAGTGGCTATACCAACAGTGGTTTAGGGTATCTTTTTCCCTACATCCTCGCCAGCATTTTTGTTTGCTGATTTCTGTATGAAAGCCATTCTAATGGGGGTGAGGTGAAACCTTATTGTGGTTTTGATTCGCGTTGCCCTGATAGTTAGCGATCCTGAGCATTTTCTCATTTGTCCATTGGCCATTTGGATTTCCTCTTTTGAGAAACGCCTGTTTAAGTCCTTTGTCCATTTCTTCACTGGGTTGTTTTGTTGTTGTGGTGTTTCTTTCTTTATATCGTCTGGTTATTAATTATCAATTGCATAGTTTGCAAATAATTTCTCCTGTTCTGTCAGTCGCCCCTTCATTTGAGGTTGCCCCCTTCAGTTGAGGTGGGTAGAACAATTACACACAGAACACAGAAATGTATAGATAAATCAGACAAAAGAAAAACACTTATTTAAATAGAAGGGCAGAGCAGAGGGCAAATTAGAATGCAGATACACAGACTCTAGGTTCCTACCCAGGTGCTAAAATTGAGTCACAAGTTTGACTCAGAGCTTAATGGCAGCCGAAGTGAAAAGGGAAATACATTGAATTATATAATTGGCTTGTCTGTACTAAAGACACATCAGTTACTCAAGGGTAGCAAGCACTTCACGATGCTTGGTTCTAAAGGAGAACCCTTTCATGGGATTTCCCGTAGGGAATACAGGTGATCAGCACCCAGTAGCAGTCCTGTGGTAAGTGTACCAGTGAGTGTCGTGGCACATTCTCTTCTAGAATCCCTTAGCGCACGCAGAGGACACAGCACTCACAACACAAGTCAGTAAAACAGTGTTGGCAGGAGGTGGTTAAGGTTTCCGTGGGGGTCAGGTCTGTGGTTTTCTGATGGATCAGCTAATACAGTGTGGATTACCGAGGGCAGGTACAAGGGACCTTCAGACTATGCACAGATTAAATTTATCTTTTAATTCTATTGTCTAGGAATGTTTTGAAATCTGTTTCCACACATTGTTTGGAACTCAGGAATCTGATCAGCAGATGGTAGGGGGCTGACAGCCTCTTGTGATGAGTGAGTCATCCATTAAGTTTCTCACCTAAATAAAGACATTCCTCTCACATGGTAGTGGAAGGAAGGAGCCCTTACAGGCAATCCAGGATTTTCCTAAAAAAAAAAAAAAAAAAAAAAAAAAAGGCAAGTGTTCAAGATTATCAATTTTTACCCAGAGGAGCAGAAGGTCTGCAAACCCACAGACTGACTTTTTTGTCTTTTTCCTGAAGTCTACAGCAGTTGCCACAGTTAGAGATCAATAGATTGCACATCTGGCACACCTGGCGGCTCAGCCCACAGGGCCACAGCCTGCTGGGCCGAGTCCAGAACGCAAGCCCACCTGCCTGGGCTTTGTTCCCGCACTGCACTGCTCTGCTGGAGAATGAGGGCTTGGACTGAACAATTTGCAAATAATCTATTAGTTGCTCAGTCTGACTACGGAAAAACTTGAATAATGCTCTCAGGAAATGTCTGGCTTTTAGCAAAGTAGCTGGCCTATAAATCCATCTGAAAGAGTTACTTGCAAAACATTAAGAAATTAATCTGATATTTAGTGGCCGGATCTAAGTCAATGGAATTCAAGGACATACTCTGAAATAATCATTTTAGTTTGTAACAGATGATCTCAATTCATTCTTTCTGACAAATGAACAAAATCAACTACATATTAAAATTCATCAAAATAAAGTATCATTAGCATACAGGAAGACAACGGACTTTTTACAGATTTTACTTATTTATTTGAGAGATAGAGTTACAGAGAGAAGGAGAGACAGAGAGAAAGGTCTTCCATTTGCTGGTTCACTCCCCAAGTGGCTGCAACAGCCGGAGCTGGTCCCATCCAAATTCAGGAGCTTCTTCTGGGTCTCCCACATGGGTGCAGGGGCCCAAGCATTTGGGCCATTTTCTACTGCTTTCCCAGGCCGATAATGAAATTTCTTCTTTTTTTTTTTTTTTTATTCAGGAAAAGATATCTAGGTATCTAAAAATGGTTTCAAATTATTTAAATACAGGATAAAGCAAGAAGGGCCACAACTTGGCTATTTTATAGGCCATGAAATACTTTCTGATCTGCCTGAGCAGCAGTTCTATTGATCTGGACTTTCAAGCTCGAGTCCTGGTTTTCTAAGAACTGGGACTCTATGTTTAACTCAAGCAACTTAACCTGAAACTACTTTGTATCTGCAGAGTCAAAGCATGAGAAATCATTTGAAGCTACAATCTTTCTTTTAAAAGCACAATTTATTGTTTCTATCTGTAAAAGTATACATGTTCACAATTTATAAAATAAAGACCAGAATTAGATTACTTTTCCCCTTATTTATTTTGAAAAATTTCTAACAGTGTGCTATGCAGGCCAAAACACCCAGTTACAAATGCTCAGCCAACGAATTTACCCACAGCGTCTTGGCAGTCAAAGCGAAAAGGGAAAAAAAGCAGCTAGTTATGTAATACACATTACTTATAAAAAGAAAACACATCTGTTACTCAAGGGTAGTCAAATGTTTCACTACTTCTGACTCCGAGAGAAAATTCTCCTGTATTCATACAAGGAACACGGAGTGCTGTCACACACACAGTCCTATGGCAAATGCACCAGCGAGTTCTGTGGGCCGTGTCTTCTAGAATCCCTCAATGTCAGCAGAGGGTACACGGTGTGAAGCTGGCCCTCTGGGGGTTAACAGCATGAACTCTAAGCCCCAGCTACCTGGATCTGAATGCCGTCTTCATCATTTATTAACCGTGTGACCTTGAGGAATTAGTTAACCTTTCTGTGTCTTTGCTTGATTTATTAAAAATATTGTGATTAATAAGATCACCTACTTCAGAGGCTAATGATTAATGTGATTAATAATATCACCTACCTCAGATTGAAATGCGGTAACACACACACCATGCGGCTGGCACATAGTAAGCCCCAGTATGACTGCAGAAGTGGTCAAATATATATGTACGTGTTCTGTCCATAATTGCAGAGGAAGGGCACTTAAATCAACTAAGAGCCTGAGGGAAGGTTTCCTGGAGAGACAAAGCCTGTGCTGGGTCTAAATCTTCTTCTACTGCTGAACTGCTTTATGACCCTGGGCAGCGTTACCTGCTGAAACTGAGATACAATGTCAGTGGTCGATACAGTAATCCAGTGTCTGCAAAATTAAAGGAGATGATCTATGAGGACTAGATAAGCAAATGTGCTACAGCACGGCATTTACAACAATAAATATGTTTCCTTTTGGATCTGCTGGGAAGATAAATCAATTACTCTTGCATTTAACTTTTATTTGTGGCCATTTTTTTTTCAAATAAACAGTTATAGTTTAGAAATAACTATACATAAATATTCCTTCAGATGAAAACAAGACTACCTGGAAGGTAGTAAGTGGCACCACCAGCTCAGCACAGTGCTCCTGGTTTTTTTGTCCCTGTGGAGATACGCCCTGGTAACTCCTGCTCACGTCTGAGATATACAGTACCTACCCAGTGCAGGTAAGGACAGCTCCTTAACTTCCATTAGGTACACCTGATAGATCCCTCAACTGTATCCCTTTATATAGCCCTCGTGTCACCTCCTGCAGATTCTGTTATCATTACAGTACATTTATACCTTGCATATGGCAACAAATAATACTTACGTGTTTCTCCCTCTCCAAACTGGCACATATGTACTGACTCTTAATGTTTGGTGAAATGATCTGGGTAGGATTTGGAAGGTGCAGTTACGGGTAAAATAACGTAATATAAAGTTAGTAGGATCATCTAAGAATTAATGTGAAAATTATAGACTCAGCCCGAGCCTCTCCTTTGACAGATGGTAAAGCTAAAACCTGGAAAATTGAGTGATTTGCCCAAGGTTATCTAGCTAGTCATTGGCCAGGACTGAGACTAGAACATCCCACTCCCATCAGCCCAGCCAGAGGCCAATCCACTACACTGATCTGTCTTGTAGACGCAGTGATTTGGCGTCTGCCTCCACTACCCACTGAAGTTGCTATTGCTGTCACCCATCATTCTTTTTTTTAAAGATATATTTATTATTTATTTGAAAGGCAGAGAGACAGAGAAAAAAGTTTTCCATCTGCTGGTTCACTCTCCAAGTGGCTGCAACAGCTGCAACTGGGCCAATCTGAAGCCAGGAGCTTCTTCCAGTCTCCCACAGGGTGCAGGGGCCCAAGCACCTGGGCCATCTACTGCTTTCCTAGGCCATAGCAGAGAGCTGGATTGGAAGTGGAGAAGCCGGGACTCAAATTGGCACCCATATGGGATGCCAGCATTGAAGGTGGTGGCTTTACCTGCTATGCCACAGCACCAGCCCCACACTAATCATTCTTTTGCTAAATCCAGTCAGTGCTTTCTAGCCCTAGATATACTTGAACTATTTGTTGTTTCTAGCTCCATGGATCCCCTTCCATCTTGCACGTCTTTCCTACCTTGACTTCCAAGGCACTACATTCACCTCATTCTCCTTTCATCTTTCTTGCCACTCTTTCTCAAACTTTGTGGGCTTCTGGTCACTCTCCACCTGCTTTCAAAGTTGGTGCGTTCTGGGGCTGGTGCTGTAAGCTGAGCCTCCACCTTGCAGTGCCAGCATCCCATATGGGTGCCGGTTTCAGGGCTGGCTGCTTCACTTCTGATCCAGCTCCCTGCAGATGGCCTGGGAAAGCAGCAGAAGATGGCCCAAGTGCTTGGGCCTCTGCACTCACATGGGAGACCCGGAAGAAGCTCCTGGCTCTTGGCTTCAGATTGGCCACTTGGGGATTAAACCAGTGGATATAAGACCTTTCTCTGTCTGTAACTCTTTCAAATAAAGTGGGTCCCAGGGGGCTCTACCCTTTCTACTCATTATTCCTTCTATATTTTCTCCCTGATCAATCTCATCTATGCTTAGGGCTTAAAATATCCATTACATGGGTTAGTGTTCTCCAGATCTGCTTTTATTTTAACTCAACTTTTCTCATTTTTGGATAATTTGACTATCTCTGGGGCGTTCCCTCTGGCTGTGGAGGTGCTGTCAATCAAGTCACCGCCACATTGCTATCATTTCTGAAGGGGCCCAAAAAGCTGTACCCTTCTTTTCCTGATAAAAGAGAATGTTGCAAGAAACCAATTATTTTTTATTACTGACTGTATTAGTTTCCTTTTGCTGTTGCAACAAATTACCACAAGCTTAGTGGCTTTAACCAATACAAATTTATTAGCTTATAACTCTCAAGGTGAGTCTGGCCGTGGAGATGTGGTCAGGGCTGTGTTCCTTCTGGGAGCTCTAGGGAAGAATCCGTTTTCTTGCTCTGTCTACCTTCTAGCAGGGGTGGAGAACATCTGAACTGCAGGCAGTATAAGGCCCATGAAATCAACTGGTCTGGTGCTGCCAAGGCAAGGACAGGGGAGACCTGAAATTCACTAAGTCTACAGCAGGTGAATTTTTAAGCTGATAATTGCCTATGGCCCAGGCATGATGTTATAAATATCCACATGGCCCTTGGCAGAAAAACGTGTCCCCACCCCCATAAGGCTGCCTGCATTCCTTGGGTCCATTTGGAGGCCAACAGTGTCTCATTTTCAAATTTCTCTCTCTCTCCTCTGCTTCCATCCTTACATCTGTTCCCATTCTCTCCCTCCGCTTCCAGTCCGGTGATCCAGGATAATTGCCTCAGAGCCTTAATTTAATCGCATCTGTAAAGTTCCCCTTGCCAAGTAAGGGAACAGGTTCTAGAGCTCAGAATATGGGTATCACGGGCAGGGGGTCAGTGGGGAGCATTATTCTGTACAACAGGACAAAGGTGGCCATCACCTGTGGCGAGGATTTCCTAATGCTGCACGCTGGAATTAAACAGGTTTACTGGCTTTGTAGCCCTGCACCAAGCACCCTCACCCCAAAGCAGCAGAGGAGGAACCAGGGCAGTTCCCTCTTTGATGAGAAAAAGAATGGCATGGAGTTCACATGCCCTTTCTCCTTTTCAGTTCATCAGTCAGGAAGTCACTCCACCCTCCTGGGTGGGCACAGGTACAGGGAACAGCTGGGGTTGTTCTAATGATGCCATTCCACACGGAAGGAGACACTGCGGGTGCAGAATAAGCGTCTCCCCAACAAACGTGCCCGCATTTGATCTCATCATCATGGCCGGCACAATCTGACCATCCTCCTTAGGAGTGTCCACCGCTATTTAGAAAGGTACACACCTGTGGATAACCCGGCCTTCTGATCTTACTAAACCTCACTACCACCAACCCCAGCACCCGCACTGGACAGCTGGCTGCTCACTTCTCAATGCAGTCAGACCTACCCACATCTAGCCCCTCTTCCACGTTCCCACCGCTGAAGTTCTTACCCCACCTTGTCTGGAGTCTCCCTGCCCCATGTCCATTCCCACGTCCTGTTCACGAAGTTTCCCTTGCCTGGAACTAAGTCCTTCCCAGCTTCGCCCCCACTCCCGCACCCCGGTGCCCCAGCTTGCCCAAGGCCCTAGGGGGACGGACTTGCCAACATCGCCCAGAGTCGCATTTGCACCCAGATTCACTAACGCCATTGTTCCAATGTGTTCCTCATTGCTCTCGCCCCACGGCCTTCTTGTAAGAGAAAGACACTGTCAAGTCTGGTGGGCGTTACGCTTTACAAAGCGTCTTTTCCCATATTAATCTGCTTTAGCTTCGCAACTTTCCAGTGTAGACTGGACGAGCATGGCTCGGTTCGTCACGCCCCCAGCAGCCCTCGACAACCGCGCACCCAGACCCATCCTGCACCCGGCAGAAGCTGCCCATCCGGCCCGCGCCAGTCTGGACGAGGCCACCGCTCTCGCCACCACAGGCGCCCGGACCTTGCCATCCGCAGTGACGTGCCCGGTGACGCCATACAGTGACGTGGGCTGACGCGACTCTCCCGCAGCCAGGTGCGGGAAGGGCAGCCACGCCCTGGGCCCTTGCTCGGGAGGGCCAGCAGGTCGGGCCGCTGAGGGGGGAAAGCGGCGGAACCCGCCCAAGTTCTCCCCGGGGCCCTAAACCCTGGGACTCGCCGGCCCGCGGTCGATCGGTTGCTAAGTGACGCCAGCGCGCAGAGGCGCGTGCGCGGCCACGGCGCTGTGCGTGAGAGCGGGCGCGCGCCGCGGCGGCGGCGGCGGCGGCGAGGACGGCGGCGACGGCAGCGGCCGAGGGGGCGGTGGCTACGAGGCGCGCGTGCAGCAGGCGGAAGAGGCGTCTGTGCGGGCGGCTAGGTCGCTGAGGAACATCGTTGGGGTGAGTAGCCGGGGCCTCGTAGGGGAGGTGGGGCCTGGCCGCACCTGCTGCGCGGGCCCGGGGGCGCGCGCCCCCACCGTACCCGCGCGCGCCGCTCCACGCCCCTCCGCCGCTTTTTTCCGGGGGGCGGGGAAGGGCTGGGGACGGGGGCTGACGAGGGTCAGTTTCTGGGCCCCGGCGCTCGGGGAGGCGGGAGTCCTGGAAAGGGAGGTGGGAAGGAGGTAACTGGGGGTGGGGGGCTCCCAAACAGAAGACTGAAGGGAAGCCCGAGTTCTCTCAGCCGCCCCGCAGTCTGTGTCGGACGCGGCAGCCTGAGACCGGGAGGAGGCGGAACCGGGGACCCCGGGGCTGGGGTTCGGAAAGTTTGGGACCGCCGGGCCCTCGTCGCCCCCGCCGCGGCCGGGCTCAGAGTCGGAGCCGGTTGTCATGGAGAGAGTTGTGAATCAGTGCCTGCGTGCGGCCTCAGACACACCCATGGCGACCCGGGGAAGGCCCCCCGCGAGTGTAGCCGGCGGGCGGCTGACCTGTTGCGGGCGGTGTCCGGCCTCACATGTACGTGCGCGGGCTTCCTCGGCACCTGTCACGTTGGAGGCCGAAGGGCTGCCCGCCCCCCTCTCTGCTTACTTTGTGTTGTTACATCTTCCAGAACCGTGTTGGGATTTTGTCATTGACAGGGCCAGGGAAGTGTGGAAGCCCTGTTTTTTGCTTGTTGCTTGCCCAGGACGTGGAGACAAGAGGGAGTTCAGCGTGTGGGCTGCGCGGTGTTGGACGGGGGAGTTAGTCCCGAGTGTAGACGTGCAGCGGCTCCCTTCTCGGGAGGACGCGTGGTGGTCCTGGTTCCTGCCGTCTTGGAGGGAGAGGCGTGTCGGAGGCCGGCAGGAAGCCAGCCTCTTAGGAGTTCCTTCTTCCTGGGGCAATGCTTAGAACCGGTGGGGGGAGAGAGAGACCACGCTGGAACGTAATCAGAAGTTTTGCCAGGAAATTAAGGAGGACAACTTCTAAGTTTTCATCCAGCT